CTAACATTTAACCTTTTAACTATACATCAGTAGTCTACATTTAATTAAGCTTTAATTTCTAGCTTGCGTAGATCCTGACAGGTAAGTGCTTAATTGCCCAGGTAAGATGTGTATGTCAGTAGAATATGCAGTTGGATCCAGATGTCCCAGGCCTTGCTAGAATGCATCTCTACTTGTAAGTAAATGCATGTAGTGAGCAGGGCTGAATCCATCGGGTGGTGGTCTGGAGATCTCCAACCTTCTCTTCCCAAAATGCTCTGGGTCTTCACACACCTAGTCGCTTTCACAGCCATCACTTACCTTCCATGAGATAGATCTTACCTGGCATAATCCACGCTATCCTTCGGTATGAAAGATAGAGAAGTCTACAATACCTTGCTGTCTTTCTAGTGGATAAAAAAGATAAAAATGAAATTATAAAGATGGATGGTTGGATGGATGATGGATGATGATAGATGATATAGATAGAAATTTCACAAGACAGAAAGAAAAATCAAAGTTTTTTTTAAGACAAATATATAAAAATACCTTGTTCAGTTTAAAAATCTTAAAATTATAGCTATGCAGTGTTGCTGGATCTAGAGTATACAGTTGCCCAATTTACAATATACATCAGCTGACAAGTTGGTTAAAAAATCCAGAAGACCTCAATATGGCACTGAATCATTCATCGCCCAAAGAATTTCTTAGGGAAAAATATGATTTCCAAGATATGTGAAAGAAAGGAAGTACTTCACGCACACCTGATATATTTTATTTATGTATTTATGTATTTATGAAAGACAGAAGCATATGCAACGACTGCGTTTCTACAGAGGTATAAAGAATATTGGACTTAAGCACAGAGAGAGAAAAAAGAAAGTACAATTGAGCCTAAACATTGAGCTGTCTCTGACGGGCAACCTAACCTCCCCGGCCCTTTGGGGGTAATTCCACCTGCTTCGCAGAGCTGTTGCGGAGACGGTGTGGCCCAGGCCAGGCCCAGGAATTTCTCAGTTTCCCCAGGGCACGGCCGGTCCTTTTAGAGGCTTTTTCTGGCCAGGGAGGAGGAACTGGACTTCTGCCTTTCCTTTGCACGGCTTCCCTCCCAGGCTTGAGAAGAAGGAACGTGGATCCCCAGTCCTTCTTTTGCAAGCACGCTGGGATCACGGCTTACACGGAGGGAAAGAAGCTGCCTTGTTTACTACGTCCTATTTAAGGGCAGCTGATAAATCCGCTGGACTCAGTTCAGTGAATGCAGCCCAGCTGAGGTCGTGCTTTACTTGGCTGTTTTACTTGGTAGGGAAGGAAACACTGCATGCCCACTTTGCCCGAACTCTGGATTCTCCCCAGCGTTGCAGAGCGGGCAGTCAGTGAGCGTAGCCAGACAACTGGCTCGTTATTAGTCGTGCTGAAATAAAAGTAGAAAACTCACTTGGTGCAGTCCTGAGATGTCTGAGCAGATCTTTGCTCACTGATTATTATTCATTATTATTCTCCTACCTGAACCATCAAAGAGCTCCTGGAAAGTCACTCCCCTCCGTGCTTCTCAGAAAGACAAGAAGAGGACTTACGCAAGGCTTCCTTCCATGCCCTCGTTATCATCGGAGCAACCAATTCATACCTCTGTGGGGCTGCTTACGGCTGCCTGGAAGAACTTTCTTGCATTTGAAAGAGGGGCACCCCGCTACCGCTTCCCTGCCAGACAGGGAGGCCTGCTTCATCATCAGCTTCTTCCTTGAACTTGCTTTGATCTGCCAAACTCACTCATTACCCTTGTATTAATTTCTATACGTAAACACACATTTTGCCTTTACAAGATAACAGAGGCTGTTAT